TTCGTCTAAATTGGAAAGAATTCACCAACTGTTAAATATCGGCCTTCATAAAGGGCACCAGAACGCGAATCAGGTCTCATAAGGATATTAGGACTGTATACAGAAAATACATTGGCGCTAGTAAAAGTTGAATCATATCCCCCCACCAGTTCATGGTGCCTGTAGACTATGCTTAAGAAACACTTAAATTTTTACCTGTCGCAGCGCGGTCCAATCTGAAAACCAGCCATACTACTAAAAGCGTTTTGACAGGAACTTTGGTTGATTAGTCTGAGATTTTCCACCTTGAATTCGGTTTTTTTCATTGTGCCGTTGCTGTTTTTCGAAAAGGTAGAAGCGATCACCGGGACATTTGTATTTTGTGACCGGACTTCTGGACAAAACATGCGATCACCCGTTACCAAAGTCTAACGAGTCTGACTCGTTAACCGCGGCATTGCAATGGCTGCTGATGCATGCACCAGTCTTTATCCCCGGTTTTTGTCTGGTGTCACGTGGAGAACTCGGTTAGATCATCTTCTCCGGTCGCGTGATGCCTTCCAAATTCCATGCTTTTGTTTGCTTCCTCATTTCATTTACTTTGCACACCGTCTTTTTTGGGTTTACGAGCCTGTAGTCGCAAAGCTACGTACATGCGGGGCGACTGATGTGACGGGTGACAGAGTGGGGGTCTGGCAGCAACGCATACGGAAGCTGTCCCACTGAACGGCAGTCGCCACGGTTCACATAATCAATCTCGATGAGGTCAGATTTTCGACCCAACATGACGACATTCATAGCTGCCGAGAAATTCCGGGTCGACCTCTAACTCGCTTGTTAGTGTTCTGGTATCCTCGTCAGTGACTGGCGGGACTTTCCTCAAATGCATCTGCCCTCGCCACGGCGGAATGGGCAAGTGGCGAAGACATCCACCCTTTCAAAAACAGCAGGATTTGTGTGTACACGCTTTATCGGGTAGTGAATATCCAATGTATTATGCCAAATGAACAGATATATTGTAAGTAGCCAGTCCACCACGTCATGACGAAGCCAGGTCAGGTTTGTGAATTCTGGGAAAGTGTTATATACATTTGGCTCCGCCGAGAGGCAGGAGGATTTTCATAAGAAAGCTACACGCGAAAAATTTTTCTGATAACTTGACGGTATCCAACAAAATGATCTTTTAGCAGGAACTAAGTGTTAGCCCGCACAACTATCCCTTTACCCCACGTCTCTTCGTCGAATAATTTCTACCACATCACCTAATTCGATAGATGAAGTTGTTTGGTACAATCCGGCTAGGCTAAAAGCTGCCTTTGATTAAGGTTGCTCGGCCACATGATAACGTGTGTGTAGATGGATCGTAGAGGAATGTTCCGCTTAGGTGATCAATCATGCCGCATTTATTTACGCTGTGAAGCTTCAGTTCATAATGACTTATCTTATGATGAATCTTCACTCATTGACTGTGCCGCGGAAATAGTCTGATCGTACTGTCGTCCAGCTAATCGCTGAACACAGCGCAGCCGTGACCACTCAGTGATGAGATAGTGAAGGCGGAGAAAAACTACGTTAACAGGTAAATGTCAAGTTAGAGTTTTTTCAGATAAAGCTTTCGCGTATTCGCAATTATACTGCATTCTAGTAAACGCTAAACTTGGCATTCCGGATGCTTTTTCCGTAAAGCACAAGCAGTGACCTTCGCGCTGACAGTACGCCCTAGCCACAGTAAAAAAAAAACAGAGATAGCGGTACCAAGTCTAATGCTGATCGAAGAACGGATCGATATTTTCGCGTCAGTTTTCTTTCCAGCTCACACGAAAGAGATGGAGGGGGCACAAACTTCGGCTTTTGAGCGTTGAATCCCACGTCTAGTTTGCATATAATCCCATGGAGTCATTAGCACGATATGCTTGTTCGACATGTCAGTATCATCAAACCATGGCCCTCCCCGCCTGGTATGCGCTGGCAGTTCCCTGACACCTGGTTGCCTGTCGATAGGTCCGTCTGCGCTCCCGCTGGATACACGAGTGGTGGGA